GTTCCCAAGTATGCCTTGCACCATTTCTATACTAGGAACAGAGATGGTCATGTGTCTACCATGATGTTTTCAGTCACAAGATAACAAAAGACAAGATCGCGTTGGGCCAAACTGTAAGACAAGGCAACAGATACAGCATTTAGATCATCTTTACCTCAGTTGGTAGGCAAGGAGTCATTGTTAGCCTCAGTGTTTACTTTGCTGGACCTCCACTGGACACATGTTCTATTTCAATAATTTTATTTGAGTTTTCATTCAGAATCATGGAAGTCTTCTTGTAAAAAGTCTGAATTTGAGATGAGTACTTGTGTGACATGTCCATGGGGTTCAGTAATTATCTGTTGAATGAATCATTGAATTCATATCGTACTCCAGTGTTGTGATCTTGGTGCCAATGCCCTTGTAGGCGCTCTCACTGTCCCCTACGAGGTGTTTTGTTGAAACCAGCAAAATCCTCTGAGCTGTGCCAGCCACAGGACAAAGCCAGATGCACAGTGTGAAACAGGCGTCCACGGCCTCTTTGAGGACTGTTCGCAGAGCTTGAGAAATGGTAGCATTTTCAGGCGGATAGTGGAAATTCTTTTCATTTTTGAAATTTAATAGGTTTCTTTTTGAAAGCTAGTAGAACACTTTTTAAAGTGGAAACCAAGTTGCAGAGCTACTTTTGTATTTAATAACGAAAGGAAGGTTTGTTTGTTTGTTTTTTTCACTTTAGGAACAAGTCAAATTGAGTCAGGTGACTCCCATCTGGAGAACATTAGAGCAGATCCTTTGCACAATGTTTTTCTATTTTATCGCTGTTGGTTCAAAACAGCCTCCAGAATAAAGAAAAAAAAAAAGATTGATTTTTCTGAGAAAATGTTTCCCTCAAATCACATTGTTCTCATTTCGTTAGTGTTGCTAACATGAGCATTATGTTATTGACATGAGTAAGAAAACCAGGAAACACTAGCAGAATATTTTATTTTAAATAAGAATGACTTATTTCCATTATTCAAATTGTAGGAGCAAAATGAGACACTATTTTCTTACCATCTGTTATGTGTTTCCCTCCAAGGCTTTATGGGTGGCAGACTCACCTGCTCCAATACAGACTTCATGGTAACCTGCAGCTCATGGCAGCTGCTTTTGCTTTTTGAATAAAGGCTACCTAAAAATCTCTCTTAATGAGTATGTGCAGATGCAACCCATTTTTCTGATATACAGAAAACACTGGAAATTCATCTACCTTTATTATTCCTCATCAAAATGAACTCCTTTTCTAATTAAATTATCTAATAAAACTAAACAGTCAATTCAATGCTATTTGCATATTATATGAAGTGTCATATATGAAGAAGTGTCACAACAAACTCATAGCAGTCAATTAACATAAAAGCTATTATATATCTCATCAGCTTACAAGAGTTTCTGAATTCATGCTTCTGTTGTAGCCTAAAGCAAAGAGCTTTGAGTTTTCACTTCTAAATATTGACTTTTAACTAATATCAGCAGTGATTCCATTTTTATGGATGAAAAGTTAGTGATTAAACTAGATGCAATATTTGCTATAATGCAATTAAAATTTCCACATTAACTAACCCTCTAGAAAGAAAGTCTTTGCAACAATGTGAAATTAATTATCATCACCCGGCAGGTTAAGTGCTGGTTTCATATCTGAAGGAAACTCCAAAATAAGGCTAAAGCTGAGTGAAATTCACTGGCGATGCCCGGCTGTAATAGCAGACAGACACCAGGAGGACAGTTTTCACGTCCAATTGTGCACTGGTAACATAATTGTATTCCTGCCTGATTGTGACAGCTATCAAGCAAGAAATTTACTACAAGATTAACAGAGACACAGTAATGAAAAAACATGGCAAGCATCCTGTAATTGACTGTTACGAAAGCCTTGTCCTAGTGATCGGTAATAAACTCCCGAGTGCGGTTTTATAGAGAAACCGAGCCAGAACTTTCAACCACTTTTCTTCCATTTCAAAGTTGGGTTATGGGCACCCCACCCCCATCCTATCCCTCATTTAACAAGTGCATGGTCAGAAGATGCTTGCCTGTACTATGTGTGATTTAGAGCTTTGGGCAGTTTCTGTATCCGAAGAAGTTGGGATTGACTTCGACCTGGGTACTGCAAGACAACAATGAGATGACACGGATCACTTTTACATTTCTGACTGGAACCCAAGGAGTCCACGTGTAACAGCCATCACAGATAAGAAAACTGCGTGCCTGTGAGCCGGTTCTCTCCTGACACAACCTAGGCGAGGGGGTTCTCTCCATTCATATTTTAATGAGGTTAGTATCTCTGAGACCCTCCTTGGAGGGCGGAGGCAAGGCTCCAGCAGGAGCACAATGGGAGTTGCTTTATTGACAAGGCCCATTCAGAATCTTCACAGTACAAAAAGAAAGACTTAGTCTTATTCCACTTGTCCCAGTACTTACTGCACTTAGAGCTGAAACAATTTGAGGGGGCAAAGGCTCAATTCTTCTATGAACAGTCTCAAATTTACTGAAGGTGGTTTTGCTAAGTAGAATCATTTAAAACTCTAATTGCGTACATTCTAATAAATGTATAAAGAACTGCAATGATATCTTTTTTAAAAAGTGTTTTCTCAAAAAAAATCTAATGCTTTGGGATTTTAAGATCAAAATATTTGTAAACTTGGGTTCCTCCTTCCATTTTAGTGGATATTGTGAGATCGGGTCCTCTAATGTCTGCCAGCAGCCGTTTCCTGTATTTAAAGAATCTGTACTCCAAAGAGCTAGTTAATTACACCAAAAAGCCAGGCAGCCTTCACAGACTTAGAAAATTGTAAGAATTCACACGTTAGAATGAACATATTACAGTTAAAATAAGACATTATACCTCTATATTCAAACATGCAAAATCACTTTCCAAATAAGAAAAACGACCCCACTGTTAAGGGGAAGTTTTAACGGGGAGGGCCGTTTTTCAAAAAGCGCAGTCTAGGAGAGAAAGAAATGGCTCTCAAAAGTGAGTCGGGAAGGCCTTTCACCGATCGTGTCCAAAACTTAGCGGGCTCGGCAATCTTTGCGCACAGCTCAGAACGTCAGGTCATCATCACAAAATAGTTTCTCGGTGGCGAGATGGAATGCTGTGTCGGTGAGGACACTTCTTGGTGTTCTAAATAACTCGAGGGCTAAGCATCTCGGAGCCTCTGTCCCCAGACCCTCGCCCTCCTGCGCGCGCCCCCAACCCCCGCAATGAGCTGTTTACGTTTCCAGTGGGGGGAGGAAGGGGAGAATGACTTTCTTGAGTACGCTAGATTTTTCAAAAGTGAAATAGTCCACTCATCGCTTTCAAGTAAAATCCTGCTTTGTTGATATTTAGTAACTACTATGGATATATTTTATAAGAAAATAAACTTAAAATACATAGATACACATAAAAATTCTGTTAATTGTCCGCCTTGATTGGTCGCAATTTAAGAATTTACCTCTGCATCTTTTAACTTTTCCCATGACTAACTGCGTGCTGAACCCTTAGTTCCTAGCGGTTAGATTTTCAGATTTGTTTGTTAACCCATGGATTTCTTTTTACAACTCACAAAGCTCGAAGGACAGAATCCAGGCATGAATGTGCACCTGGAGCCACTTAGTTTTTGACTGTAGACACTTTAAAAATTAAAAATCGGTGAGTTTTTAAAAACTTAGCATTTGAGAGACTAAACAAGCGCCGTGGCGTATTCTAGTCCAATAAACTGACTGCACAGCTGCAGGCGGGGGTCAAAACCGGCCTGAGCCAGGCTCGGGGGAGGGGAGGTTACCTGTGCACGGCGCAGGTGCAGCTGGGGTTAGCAGTGGCGCTTTCCTCTCCCTTCTCTTCCTAGGCTCCCTTTAAAATGTTTGCACAGACTCGATTCCTTGTGGAAACCGGGGGTGACGGTGGTGACACTGGGGTGGCTTAGAGCCCCCCTCCCCCCCAGGCACACAAACCCCGCCGCCCGCGCTTTCATGTTAATTCCGCCGCGCTGGCGGATCAGATTTGCGGCCAGATGGCGGTGAAGCGCGGAGACCCTTTGTGCGCCCCGAGCGCGCCTGAGAATGTCGCGCGGTCGCTGGCACCGGAAGGGTTCACACTGCGTGTGAAAGGGGACAAAGGGGCTGGATATATCAACACTGCAGAAACCGAGTTCATTTGCGATGCAGCCCCTTTCACTGCAGTTGTCATGCAAACTTCCTACTTTGATCAGCGGAGGGTGGAGAGGGAGAAAGCCCGCAAAGCCCGGGGCCGCCGGGCCGCGCGCCCTTGGCGGCTCCACGCCCCCTTCCGGAAGGAGCCGCGGGGACGCAGCCTCCTGCACCTTGACCCGTCTAGACGGCCCACGAGTTTTTGTCTCCGTTTCCAAGGGCGCGGGGTGCTCTTTGACCCGCGCCCGGGGCAGAGGTGGTGGCAAGGGGCCCGCCGCGTCCTCGCCGGATCCTGGAGGGAGAGGGGCGCCCGGGACGCGCGCCAGCTGTTCCCAAAGAAAGCCCCGGAGTGGACCCCCGCGTCCCCCTGCCCACGGCCGCTGCCCCGGAGTGCACCGAAGGCAAAGAGGGGAGCCATGGGGAGGCCAAAACTTTTGGGGTTTCCCGGCAAACCGATGGAGAGTCAGGGTCTCGCTCTCTCTCTTTCTCTCTCTCTCTTTCTCGTGCTTTATTCTGCCCGCTCAATGACTTTCAAACGTGCTCATATGTAGAAGTACAGCTTCTAAGTTGGTTGTAAGTTTTTCTCTGTCCACCTTCAAATAGATGCACTTTTTCTTGCTAGCGTTTAAGCTGACCTTAAATTGTGTAAGTGGTGTAGCTGACATGCTAAATTAGAAGCGCATTCGTGATCGCACCAGCAGGATTGTGTGTTCCCATACGGACTGGCTGCATCGTCTTGGCCGGCTATGAAGGGGAGTTAACATGAAGGCAAGTGTCCTGTCTTTTTCCCATAGGTCCCCCTGGCCCAGTCCGAGGCTTTCCTGACCGACCTTTTGGATAAAGTATGTGAGCGAATGAACGATTACCAGCTCGAGGAACACCCAGAGACTAAGGAGAAATTTTTCAAGAGATATGCCCCAAGAAAAGGAGACAAAATATACAAGGAATATAAAAAGTTCTTTTTTTATTCTGATGCCTACAGACCTTTGAAATTCGCGGTAAGCTCTCTTCTTCCAAGAGCAATCAGGATCCCTAAGCCTGTGTGGGGTCTTCTTTTCCATCATTTTCTACTCTGGGCATTGTTGAGTTTCAAGACCCTGAACAGAAAAATACGCGTCCTAGTGCCCTCCTCTGCTGTGTGGTCCTGTTGCTAGTTACCTGTTAACCAACCGTGCAGTTGGTAACTAACTCTCCTTTTGCAGCACCTCAGGGGCTACGGTGTCTCACAGTGATCAATGCAGAGACTGAAGCGCTATCCCCAAATCTTGGTGACTCCAAGATGGTTTGAATAGTGTTTGTTCAGACCATTCTGCTGTGGTGTGGGGACTTCAGTCTGCCCTGGTGTCAAGGGAGGTCTTCCACCTAAGGGAGGTCTCACAGGTTTCCACTCTGGCTCCTAGGTACAAATTCAGATTAAAATGGATGTCATTTTCAAATATTTAGAAATTCACATATTTAGAGGGATGTGATGTGGTCATCTCCCTCCCCCCAAAGGCTTTCACAGAAGAGAGAATTTTTTCCCGAGTTAATTCACATTTTCTAGCACAAACTAAGTTAAACAAAGGCTTAAGTCTGATAGTTGGAGTAATGCCAAGTTTCCCTTCCACATAATGTTTATTTTACATAAATGCTGGCCTCTGGCTTGTTAGAATGTGCCTGGCAAAATATATTGCAGTGTAGTTCACTTTACTTAATGCTGTTGAATCGCACACAGTGACGGGCAGGCCTGTTTAAAAAATGTATTAAGTTCACGAATTAACCAAAATGTCAGCCGTGCTGGAGTTCCAAAACAAGGGCTGGAGCTGACATTTGGAGATTTCATTTTAATTAAAAAGCAAGGACGATAATTCAGGGTTAAAAGTCCCATGGAACAGGAATGGCAGTGTTGGTGTTTGTAGTTCACAGGTTTTAAATAAACACATTACAGTGGAATTTAAGTATTTTAAACACCATTTGAAAATGTTAGAGTCTTGCTTAATGAACTCAAAATGAATTACAAGTCTCTGGTGGTGAATGGCCCCTCAGTAACCTCACAGTTCCAGAAGTGTCACCTGGCCGGCCACTCTTTAATAAAGAAACATCCTCTGGTTGGAATTTAAGACTTTCGGATTCAGGGGCAAATTTGAGTGTCCTCCTCTGTGAAATGTTAGATTGTTTTTTAACTTCTCATTTTTAGGGAAGTGAAGTGAGATTTTTGGCTGGCTCTCTAGATGGAAACCAAGGAGCACTTTCTCCTCAGTGAAAGTGAAGTTGGGACTGTTTTGATTGCTGAGGCTTAATTGTTTCCTCTTTGAAACCACAAAAGGGTTTCAATGGTTTTCATATTATGCTAAGTTGGAAGGAAACCTCTGTTTCCAGGAGCTGTGTCTTTAAGATTTTGAAGAAAATGAAAAACAAGACTTTTCCGCTCTTTAAATTGGAGACCCATTTCTTCCTATGGCATGCATTTCGATTTTAGGAAGAGAAACAATTACAGAAAGCCATTCTCCTTCCTTCTCCCCCTCCCCCACTCTCCATCTTTCAACAGGACTAATGGTTTACTTAAGTTCCTCCAAAAAGATGCAATTAACATTCTGGGAAGAGGGCTAATCCAATGCAATGGTGTGTTAAGCCGAATGGGACACCTTGTTACATGGTTTCCTATGTTTTGCTAAAAACAAAAAATGTTGCTAAGTCCTTCCTAACCCAGCACCCTGGGAGCAGGAGCAGGAGCAGGAGCTCGAGAACATCTATGTGTACACATCTGTTGTCGTTGTGTTTCTGCAGTGTGAGGCTATAATAGAACAGTATGAAGAGGAAATATTCTCACTTATCGCCCAGGAGGCACGCTATCTAGCTGACAAGCTGTGCAGCGAAAAATCAGGTACTGTGTCTGATGTAACATGTGCTCCAGCCTCGCTCCCCTCTCTCTTTCTCTCTCTCTCTCACCCAGCCTTGCTCATCTTGTTTGCAGACCGAGCCTGGCTGCCTCGTTGCAAGCCGTGGCTGTGACACAGGGTGCTGGGGCTTGGCTGAGTCAGACAGGACACCCTGCAAGAGAAATCAGCTGCAGAAGCAGCACAGGGGCTATCTCTGGCCCTTCCTTCCCGGCATTCGCATTTGAACACCTTGATTTCCAACTGCTAGGAAGGCCATTCTGGGTCAGAATTAGGTGTCTCCAAAGCACTGGCTTTCTTTTAAACTTGTCAACATTGGCTTTTGCATCCTGGCCAGGAAAGGAGACTCTTTATGATCTAAATATTTGCTCTACCAGCAGAAGGAGGGGGTTTTTTATTTTGTAAGAAAAAATAATTGTACTGGATTTTTTTTTCAGGTACCTTTCCCAGATTTTCTCCATCTTTTAAAGTTTTTTTTTTCTGACCCAGAGGCCAGAATATACTACTGCCTCACATTCGTACACACACATACAGACACACACATGCACACTCCAAAGCTAGGGAAATGAGAAAGGTGTTTACTTCACAGCAAGGTGAAGCCTGTTACCTCAGCCCTCTCCTGGGTCTGGGTGAGCGCACATCTAGTCCTGTGGTCTTGATGCATGCTTCATGCCTAGATACTTTTGGGAAGAAAATGAATGGAGGTATATGCGTGTAGAAGGAGGCAATGATTTAAATCCAATGTAGATCTTTATAAGCCATGTGGAAGCTTGAGGTAGTTAGCATTACCAGGTTTTTCTAAGAAAGGAAAGTAGATACAGATATCCACTAGCAAGTTTAATGCCAAAATCCTAAAAATAATAGTCACTGAATATTTGTAGATAAATATTGATGTTAGACAGGTCACATCCCCCACTGAACATAACAATTCAAGTTTTCTTACTCTGGATAGATAACTGGGTTGTTTTCTTTTGAAAATCCAGTTTCAATGGGAGTTTGTGGGAATATGCAGTGAAATTCCATGGTAGATATTATTCAGCAGTTTGAGATTTTTTTTGTTGATATATAACATAGAAATTTGTGAAATTCACATAAATTCACAGATACACCTCACAAATAAAGTATTTTTGAGGTTTTTAAATAATTTGGTGACTGATGTAGGTATATATTAAGACATGAACATAAATGCTATGAGCAATATTTGAAATATTTAATTCCTATTTTTTTTTTCCTTATGAAGAGTTTGACCTGGCCGTAATCACCTGTGATAAATAAACATAATTCGCTACATGAACACTAACTCACTAACTCAGATGTTCCAAAAAGACTTTGGAGAGCTCCCCCACTGTTTCTGGTAGTTATCACCCCTAAATTAGGATTCTGGGAGAAAGCCCTGCTTCCAAGTTCAGCAGCTTGACTCAGTTTCAGTAACTTTAATGACCTCTCTGCACTCCTTCCACATAGTTACAACTGAAATGGAAAATTAACATTAGCCCTGAGAAAATATAAGCTTAGAGAGTAATCCTAAAATCCTAAATATTAGTAGTGTGAAATGAAACCCCAGATAATTCTTAGTTAGCATTTGCTTTTTTAAGAATTATACCAGAAGCAGAACTATTGAGAGTCAAAGGTAATCACTCAATAAAGCAGACTGCTGGTGCTGCTGCATGGTGAAGAGGACTGACTTCTCCCACGTTGGTTCTTCATGAGACAAGCTGTGCATGGTGCAAACCATTTCTAAGTTAACAGCTGAGAGTAAATTATCTTAAAAAAGAGACTACACTGCCCCTCCAGCCTACTATTGAAGTAAGTTAACACCACAGTAGCAAGGCAGAGAGATTTTTCAGACTTAAAAATTGTTGCCAGGAAAAAAAAAAAAAAAAAAAAAAACTAAAGTAGCACCCAGTGATAAAAATTCCAGGAATGACTGTAGCCAAAACAAAGAAGCAATGTAACACATTGGGATGGTTTCCACCTTTGTGTAAAAGGGAGACTCCCACGTCACAGGAGAACCCCAGGTGCCCGGAAACATAACCTAAGACACAGCAGAGCAGGACAGTCCTGCTCTGTTTCAAAAGAGCTCTCTTGGACTACACAACAGCTCTGCCATGACACAATCTCTGAAGTTGCAATGATGTTTTAAAGACGTGACTGTGTGTGTGGGGTGTGTGTATGTGTGTGCTAGAAACTGTGAATGAAACTGTGAATTCACCAACTATTCACTGGTGTATACTGCGTGCCAGGTACTATGCTAAGAGCTGAAAAAAATGTTCACTTACTGCCTCTAGGAAGAAAATTATTTGCAAAATAGATATTTCTAGAACTAGAGATTTAATTGGAAGTCTGCTCTGTGTACTTAATATGTGCTCTGTGTGTGTATATATGAATTTTTCTTCTTTCTACTTAATATAGGTTGTTTGACTTTATCTGTAATAGAGTAGTGAGAACACGTTCACAGACCCTTCAAAATATTAAATCTTCACATTCACCCACGTGTAGAAAATTCAGTGGGAAACAATGGTGAAGACATAGCTTATGTGAAAGTTAAGAGGACCAGGTTAGAATTAAGGAGTGCCAAAACAGTGAGGTTTTCACCCACACTGCATGTCATCGTTCAGTGTCAAAAGATCTCAGTGAAGGACTGAAGAGGATTTTGTCTGCACTGTGTTTATCTCAGGCGTGGATTGTTTTGAAAGCTCTCAGTGAAGGGTCTGTGGTGTCCAGTATGGTGCAGTAAGAGTTACGGAGCCAACTCTGCTGGGGTGAGGCGAGGGGTGGGGGCCTCTCCTCACATTAATCTCTCTTCTTCCTAGGCAAAAAAAATAAAGGTAAATTCATCGGATTTCCTGGTAGAATGTCTGTAGCTTAGAAGCCAGGCTTCTCCAGAGTGTCATTTTGATGTCTTCAACTCAGAATGTTTAAATCTAACATAATACAGAGTGTGACTCAAAGGACAGCTATATTCTGTGCTACTGTAAGTTGCAAATGAATGGCTACGCTCATGTTGGAGGCATAAGCAGAAATATATGAAAATATTCTGCACCTATTACTTCTGTTCCCACATCAGATCCTAACATTTAAAATGATCATGACTGAAGAATTTGCCACATCCCCATTTTACTGCAATATTTGGAGTAAGGTAGCAAGGATCTGGAAGCAGTTCTCCTACACGGAACGTACAAGCATGGTCACCTTTCTGCCTAGACTTCCCAACCCAAATGGGAAAACGTAAATTATAATACATAAAATAATTACTTTCAAAGGCCAGCATATTTAAACTAAATTGTGTAGGTAAAATAATCCATAGCCTTTCTAAACAGACCTGGCACTCCTGCTTTCAACTGGAGAAGCGGTGTGAATCAGAACATCCAGCTGCCTCTTGGATTAAAGGCCGAGTGTGCTGGGCCCCTTCAAGCTGAGAAACAGCTCTGGGTGGATCTTCTTTAAGACCCCCACACCCGTGGGTGAAATGACACAGTACCTGGCCTTGTTTTAAAATACTCCAGCCTAAAAGGACTACGATAGCAGAGTGTTGGCCATTGTAGAAGCTGGGCTCTGGGCCTTTCTCTTTAGCATTGTGTATATTTGAGATTTTCTGTCATCAGTGTTTTAAAATGTGCTTCCTGCAGCATGTCCTTTTAGTGGAATTGGATGGCTGACATGTGACTCACAGTGATGCTATCTATTTTTTTTTTTTCCAGATCTGTGTGGTACTTCTGCTAATCATACTGAACTATAGGAGTGACATGGGACTGTTGTAGAAAGGAACAGAGTCACAGCCCCGAAGGTCAATGTCTGCATTTACGTTTGTGTATCTTTTATGATAAGAAATTTTGTCTGTACTGTATTTGTCTTGTGCATGGTATTGCTTTGAAAATCTGTGGTTTGGCGTTACGGCAAAACTCAGCTCTTCCTGTAGGTGAAACCGAGGCGTTCATAAAACTGAAATTTCCCCCGCAGATTTGGATAGATACAGATTTGAAAGTAAAGCATTAAGTTTGGTTGGGGGACATAGTGAAGCCGTTTCTAAGCTCAATAGGAATTTAATACTGCATTCTGTATATTTCGTCGCAAATGAACACGACAGCCTCAAATGCAGTGTGCTGCTTGATGAAAACATGGTTTGATTTCTCAAATGTGACCACAAATTTAGAGAAATCTATTGCAACTGGTTCCAAATTCAGTCCTCTGTAGGAGGACTGTATGTATGAACAAAAAGAACAAACCCACTTTGTATCAGGAATGAGATTTAAATTTCTAGAAACTCTCAAGTTTTAAAACTTTGCCTCTAAAACAGAATAGGTAGCATAATGGATGTTTTTTACAGTGAACAATCATTGCGATGGTCTTTCTTAAAGATGCGTTCTTAATACAGATAATTTGGAAAGTCGGTTTGTGATTACATCATGGATTAAAAGATAAGAGCAGTGAATGTGGTTTGTTTTGCTTCAGACTCTCCTGGATTTTTGTCCTAAAGATTTCTGGTTAACATTTAGTGTGTAGATTTTACTGCTGAATAATCTATCATTCTTCTGCAGGGTGTTTTCGGAGGCATGGAGATAGAAGGGGAGCCAGGACATGGTGGCAAATTTCTTTCTGAACACATAACATAATACAAAGTGTAGTAACAGTTACTCCTGGATAGCTCATTGTCTGTTAAATTTGCATTCAGTGGACTCTGGCTTTAATTACTTAGCAGGTTAGAGTGCAGTTTGTACCTGTTTTAATAAAGAAACTCTCATTATTGTCAATAAGAACTGAGAAAGTAGTACAGTTCAAATTCTGCACCAAAAAATCTAAAACTGATTTATTGTTATATAATTGTCTAGAAACAATACTATTTAACCATTCAATTGACTTTTCAGCAGGAAACAGTTCTTAAATTTGGGAAATTTTATCAAAACTAATGAGAAGAGATTTCCTTTTTCTCCCTACCCTGAGATTCCCAAGTTAGTATCACTTATTTATTTGGGAATCTGAGAAAGTGTGTGCTTTTGGGGTGTGTCTGTGGCTGGCTAAGTGTTGCCGGCCTTCTGTAACCCCACGATCCTCACTCCAATTGACAAAAGAAGGAAATAAAATTTAGGGGAAGGTAGTGCTGCTTTCTGGCAGGGTAGTAAACACAGTCCCTGTATCTTCTTTTAAATTTTACTCTTTAAGATTAATTTGGCATTTGAGCTAGGAAAGCCATGAACATTTTCCTACTTGGGCTCTCTTGGCAAGTGCGTAACACCAAGGTGGGGACCTGGCCCTGAGGAAAGACGCCCCCGTGGAACACGTAACAGTTGTCATCATAGAAGTGCCACCGCTCTTGTTTTCAGAGTCTCATCAGTAGTCATTAAAATTCTCAAATATAGGTGATGCGAGTTGTCTACGGAAGTTAAGGCAAGTAAGATGGCGTGTCCCAGCTAAGTGAACGTGGAGAGGAGCCATCTATTCCCTGCTTGGTCTTTGCGAGGATGTTGTGATTTCTGCTTCAAACAGACAGAACTAGGCATCTTGACGCTCATAGTGAACATCCAGATTTTGCCAAATATGGCTTCCAGTGTTTTTCTCGGATTTTCATACAAAAATGGTTTTGGATCTTACAATATATTTTTTTTAATATCTCATGACTTGCTTATTTTTTTCTTCCCAGAACTCTTTTTTCCAGATCAAACTTGTCAAGCTCCTGTGAATGTTGTAGCTTGCTGAGTGACCGATTAAAACTAGGTTTGCGTGAAAACACGAAGCCCGAGGTGCCATGTGTGCAGTGTCCTCCTGCCTCCCCCTGGGTGACTGCGCCGTCTCCCTGCTTTGCTAATGAGCAGGAAGGAGGGAGAGTAGCTGTGCGCCCTCGCTTCCCTCCTGACCACTTTTAAATGACACTTATGGACCAAAACCAAAGACAGTGAGCCGGGGGAGGGAATCCCCCACCAAGGAAACCAAAAGAAACAAATCAATGTCTAGGCCATGAGAAGAAAGTTGCTTACAGTTGATGAAAATCAACTTAATTCTATGTAAAAAATCAATAAAGTTCCTGGGAAGAAAAAGGGAGTTGATGTTTATTAAAATAAAGAGACAAGGAAAGCCAGCTGGGGTGGGGCTTCCGGTTGCACTTTTGTGAGGTGGCTTGTGTGGGTGTTGGTGGAAGACTCCCATGAGCCCATCAGAACCCACAGACCAAAGGAGCCAAGACAAAACATTATACCTTTGTTTTGTGGATTACTGTCTGCTAAGAATAAACCAAGACCAAGGAGTCCATTTTACTGAAGAGTGTGGAGTGGAATTGAGTTGAAGTCCCCAATGGGAAAGATCAATACTTTACTTACTAAGACAAAGCCCTAAAAAAATAAGAGTCCATACAATATTTTGTATACTTATTCCTCAGCTTATGTTGATGCTTATATATGCAATAGCTTTATCTAAATAGAAAAGTTTAAGCTAAGTCTCAGTCTCAAAATTCAAATTGTAGTGGGATATGAGTAAAAGCCATTCTCCCTGTGTGATTTTTGTGATCTGTGTTTAAACTTGATAAAATTTGGGAGCTAATCTTAGATGTGTTGAAAGCCTCTCAGTAGCATTTGGCACAGTTTGGTACCAAGATGCAATTAACAAGGATATTAAATCATTACAATAAAAAATACCCATCAGATAGATAGCGGTAAGTGTTTATTATTTATGACTCACCACCTACAATTTAATTTCCCTTCGTAAGTTTCTTAAATTCTTCAGGTTATTTGCTTTAGAGAATGATCTAAGTGGATAAAAAGATCAAATGCAATCAGTGAAATTGAAATATGGAAATCATAGAAATTCCTTGCCCTTAAATCACCTAGGAAAACATGGTAAATGGTTTTGCTCCTTCTAGAGTTTCACTTGCTGTCCTGTCCTCTACGCCTGGGCTTGCTGAGGAGGATGGGGTCACTGTCATCCATTCTCATGATTGACTCTGAGCAAAGGAGGTGGTGATGGCATTTGGCATCTTCTTGGCTCATTTACCAGTAGAGTAGTCACCAGAAGAACCGAGTTTACTACAGAACGACAGTGTGTGGCAGTGGAATTCAAAGCTTCAGACAAGGCTCTCTATCCTTCTGGGTTCTCCAAGAAAGTGGGTAGATAGATGGATGGGAGAGATGGCTGGATGGGTGGATGGGTGGGCGGATAGATGGGTGGATACATAGGTGGAAAGAAACCTAGATACATAGATGCGTGCATACAGACACACACATCAGTAAATAAAATTGGAATATGAGACTTCATCCAGAACTCTTATTGCTCCAGGAGGTAGACCTGGAAATTCCTTGTCCCAGGAAAGGGTTTGGAAATTTAGTTCCTTAAAGAAAGTACATCATTCTTGAAGTATTATCTCAAGATTTTCATGGAAGAAAAAAGAATAAATTATAGCAGACAGAAAATACTGTATGCCACAGCATCAAGATCATTACATGATATAATACTCTATTCAGAAGTTTCTGGAAGGCAAAGATGCTATGCGGTACAGCAGAAACACATTAGAATCTTAGGTGTCATTGTTATGGAACATGGGTTTCAAGAATCAGATCAGGTTGTCACCCTCCAAACATAATAGCACAAAGCATAAGCCTGAACAAGAAAGCAATTGATTAATTAAATTGATGGACCTGCTCCCTTGAACCCAGACATGGAAAAGGCCCCGGACGTATGCTTGGTTACTCTGTGATCGACTCATTGTGCATGGATTCTGGAACTCCCTCTCCGAGTTGTTCATACGTGGACATCTAAGAAACGCAGGCTTCATACCAGAGCATCAGTTGCCCAATGTAAGCTAATTAAGCATGGCTGGCACTCAGAAAGATCCTATGAGCCATACGTTAAAATATTCAGACCAATTTCAAAGTTTACGGATAGCCAGGTTGGCACCTGAAGTCTCTGAATGTGCTTCTGACACTGTGTGTTAAGGGGTGGCCTCGAAGCAGCTTTCTGAACAAGTGGGAATCTTTCTGTAGCCTATTGTCTGAAATTGGCTGGTAAAGGGCATCTATAATTGCGAGGTGACACTGCTGTAACAGAGAGAATATTTCAATCAGGTGATTTTCATTGTCTGATAGGCTCTGCTGTCCTTCATCAAAGGCATTGATGGGGCACCTCCATGCCCGCTGGTTTACGGGAGAAAGCCAAGCAGTGAAAAACAGACTATTTGGTCCCTATTAAAAAATAGGGCCTATTTAAAGCATTGCTGTATTAAAACAGAGGGAATCAAATACAAATATGGGTCTCGTAAGTGTTATCAAATTTTTACCCTTGAACTGCCTTCATATGCAGTCAAAGCCCAGATTAATTATTAATGCCCTACAATTAAAGAGCCATGGGGGTGAATTTTTGCTGTTTTAAAAAGTAACCCCCAAATGGTGGGGAAAAGGCATTGCATGTCTTCTCTCTCTAGCATGCTGTGGAGGCTGGCACCAGACCACAAGGCCCCTCTTGGTTGCAGTGGGGCAGCCGTGCCTGGGCGGCTCACACTGATGAGGGCCATGGTGCTTCGCTCTCAGCAAAGTCTGGCTACTTGGCCTGTCGTGGGCATCCACTGGTGCCACTGCGAGGTCCTTCTGCAGAAGAAAGGGCTGGGAGCAGCCTGAGTGCTGAAACCCAGGTCCATGAGCCCCGCACTCCATGCGGGTGGGGCAGCATCGGGAGGCTTCAGAAGCAACATGTTTGGATTTTGTTTTTAGGAACTGTTTTTCCTTCTTGGTGACGAGTGAATCTCACCTCCAGGAAAAC